AAAAAAAAAAAAAAAAAAAACCCATGCATGACTAAAGTAAGTAACTTATACCCACGCGGGGGGCAGGGCATGTGCTACAAAATGTGTCCCCTGTTGGGGTATGTGATCAAGAATGTTTGAACTTCCTGTTTTATCTCAACCAAGGGTGGTGTCACTCCCTTTCCCAGGACCCTCTGAAGCGAGGATGCCCTTGACCACCCCTTCCAAACAGCAGCTCCCTCAGCCACCCTGCCCCACGCTGTCTGTCCCTTTACCCTGCTTTAGTTTTATGTTACCTATCACTGCCCTCTCCACGAGGACAGGGGTGTTTATCTGACTAGTTCACCACTGTGTCCCCAGAACAATGCCCGGCATTGATTAAAGAATGAACCAATCTTGAGACACCTAGGACATGCTAGCCCTCCAGAAGCAGCATCTATGCACCACCCTGGGAGGAATCCTTTCTTGGACAGCATCTTGCTACCCAGAAGGGAGGGACAGGCATCCGCACAGACCACTGCGGCCCTGTCCCCAGACTCGTCACTCCCCCACCTCACAGTCTCAGTTCCCCAGGGGAGACCACGACGGCAGAAATATCCCCTTGCTTCCAGGACACAGGCCCCCAGCGAGCCCCGGCCCAGCGCTCCCAGCCAGAGCTGAATTTATGGTCTCACTTCTGCATCTCACTTGCTGTTTCCCTTCCCCTTCCAGAAGGCATCGAAACCAGTGTTTCTCGTACCATGCGATGGCCTTTGTGTGTGACAACACCCTCCCTAACTCACAGCTGTTGTTACAGGAGATGGACGGACTACTGAACGTTTATCTGAGGTCACCGTGTCCACGCAAAAATGTACAGGCTCTGCTTACCTCTTTGCTTAGGTCTAAGAGTTCAATGGTACGCAGTCGGCATTGTGAGAATAATTTCCTGAGTTCTGTGATATAACATAGTTATTACCTGTTCTCCTTCCAATCCCATTATCTTGGGAATTGATGGCCCACAGATATCGATGTCTAGAAGAGCAATCTGGGGAGCAAGAAGAGACCAGAGCAGGTACATAACTGAATGCACAGTTCTCCAGATATGCACAACTGGGAGGGGAGGGGTAGAAGAAGGGGATGGGGGAGAGAAGGCAGAAACTGGGTCACATTTGGAGCCACTGGATGCTCATAAGGGAGAGTGATGACACTGATCTTCCAGGCCACCAAGACACAGTCCAAAACTCCTGAAGAACTCTCAGCAAAGTTCATCAGCACTGACATCCCTCCCTGCTCCCCAACCCCCAAGTCCAGCTGAGCTCCTCGAAGATGATCTTATGGACCCGGGTATCCAGTCACTTGGAGACTCAGGTTCAGCCACTGTTTTCTCAACCCTTACCACGTGCCTAGGGGGTATCATTATCTCTGCTTTACAGAAGGAGAAACAGAGGTTCAGAGAGGCCCAGTGACTTGTTCAAAGAGCAAGGAACAGAGCTAGGATGTAAATGGAGGTCTTCCAACTCCAATGCCAGGGCTCTTTCTACTACCCCATCGGGCCTGGCCAGGAGGGCCTGACAGAACCTCTAGCTGAGCTCTAACTGAGCCCGGTCTTCCCTGTGATCCTGAAGGTTAGCGACAGCTTAGGCTCAACTTTCAAAAAAGAAGCCTAAAATAAGGAGATCGAAAAAAGCTCTCTGCTAGTGTCTTAGTTGCACCTCAGATGACTCGTTCCACCCCCAAGCACCTTGCTTTCCCTGTCTGACAAACGAGAAGGTCGAGACAGCCTTCAGGAATCTTTTGACGAGCAGGGAGAGTATTCATCTTGAAAGCTGTTAACATCTCGGATCCAAAGTGCAGCACCTCTGGGTAACTTTTTAACTTGCCCTAAATTCGTTTCTTGCTTCCCATTTCAATCCTCTCAACAAACCCACTGTCCTACTTCCTCAGCACCATCTCAAGCCTGTGCTCAGAAAAGCTTCTCACCCACGAGATCAGCTGTCTGCCTCATGCGCCCTCCGCTGGACTGGCTGGGGAGCACGACGGAGCAACACACTCGTCTAAACACCAGACTTCTTTCTCCTTTGCCTTCTGGATCTTGATCCTTGGGGTGGATGTGTGTAATGATCCACAGACATTAGAACCTCACGATTTGGGGAATTATACCAACCGAGACTTTCCTCAATACCCTTGGCTTTCCGGCCACTCTGTCCCCATGCCCTTCCTTCTGGGAACAATTAAGCAGTTTCCCTGAAGGACTGTACTCCCCACGCCCACCCGAGGGAATCTTGAGTGACATGGTGCAAGACTGAAAGAAACTGATAGAGCACACTCACTCCTGTGTGTACCCGAAAGGCTGCTGACAAGCTCCTGCTACCCAGATCTCCAGGGTGGCTGTGTGTCTTGTCCCTTTCACACTTCCTATTGATCCTATCACCACTCCGCCATCCATCCAATTAATTCCCTTCCTGCTTAGGTCAGGCCAGAGAACCCTAGCTGAGAGAACGTGCTTGTGTTACCAGCACCAGGACCTTGCAGCCGTGCTGGGAGCTGATGGGAAGGCATCCATCCAATTAATTCCCTTCCTGCTTAGGTCAGGCCAGAGAACCCTAGCTTAGAGAACGTGCTTGTGTTACCAGCACCAGGACCTTGCAGCCGTGCTGGGAGCTGATGGGAAGAGGCAGTGCTTGCTGCAGGGCTGTCAGATCCCAAAGCTTTCCCTCCACCAGGCTCCTCAAACTTTTCCTTAAGAAGAGGCCAGGGCAAGAGGGTTCTCGTCCCAACTTTTGGTTGTCCAAGGTCGTGTCCCCTTGCACAAGTTGCTTCTTCTCTCTAAGCCGCATCTGTCTGGGCTCCTGTGAAACATATGCTTCTGGAGATCATCAAGGCCACTCCCAGTTCTGTAGTCAATGAGCCCCAGAGAAGGGCCTCAAACACTCCAGTCCCAAAACACCTTGTGTGGACCTTTCAATGATACAATTCACCTTTCAGACCATAAAGCAAGATCATAAATTTGTAGTGTACAGGAGTCAGTAACTTTTGCAGTGGAAAGATGGTGTGTGAGTTCTTGATGTCTCACGGCTCACTCAGGCTTACGCTACGAACCTTCCTTCTGTCTTCGCCACAACTTACACACTTCCTTGCCTGCCTGTAATTAGTCAGGGGTGTTTTCCAATTCTGCTCTCTCTTGATCCAAGGCCCTTTCCAAATGCAATCGATGCCTGCCTGCCTTAAGCACTAACACAGAACGGCCTCGCACAGAATTAGTGCTCAGCTTCCACCAGACGGCAGGCAGAAAGGGGACAAGGCATATCCCACCATCTTGCTGGATTCAGGGCAGGTAGAAATACATGCTACTTGACATACTTGGCATTCACCATGTGCCAACACTGTGCACGTTTTGGAGACAGTGATGTTTTCATAGTCACGAGGAGGTCTGCCCAGGGAAAACACATTCTACCAGAGGCTGACTTCTTTTTCTTAAACCACCACTGCATAAAGACATACAGCTAGAGACACATTCTACCAGAGGCTGACTTCTTTTTCTTAAACCACCACTGCATAAAGACATACAGCTTCTCTAGCCAATTTCCCCACCGGATGGTACTCTTTCCTTTGGCATGGTGCAAAATCTAGAGGCGCATGCAGCAAGGACTTCAGAACATAATTACATGGAAGCAAATGGTGTCAACAGTTGTCTCCTCATAAGTGGTTACTTGCAACTGCCTGCCTTCTCCAGAGAGCTGTTTAAGAATATTCTTGACGGCTTCTAAAAGCAGAGATTAGTCTGGATAACATGAACAACCTAAGAAAACAGATTTCTTGGCCAGCACACAAGCCGATACAAATTTGATACTCAAATGGCAAGAGATTGTTGACTAATAGAGCAATGAACAGACAAGTATATTTTGGACCTGCTTAGCGCTGTCCTCTGGGTAGGCTATAAACTCATCTCTAAAGCAGAAATCATCACCACCCCTTCATGTTCCAGTAAATGGAATAAAGTTATAATGACTGCTATCACAGACATTTGCTGCGCACTTACTACTTGAAAGGAACTGTGCTAAGTGCTTCATATTCATCATCTCACTCAGTCCTCTGAGTCCCATTTTACAGATGAGAAAACCAAGGCAGAGAGAGTCTGGTAAGCTGCTCAGGGTCACAACAGTGGTATGGACAGAGCTAGGATGTGAACCTGGGCTGTCCTGACACAAGAGCTGAGCCCGTGTTCCTAGCCACCCACCACACCTTATATTAAAGCTGAGATCCAGAGAGCAGCACTGGGAAATCTGAGTTTTCATGCTCATTTGTTTACATGGCTAGAAATGAATGGCCTAGTGTAAGGGTCAGCAAACCTTTTCTGCAAGGGCCATATAGAAAACATTTTAGGCTTTGTGGGCAAAATCAAGGGTAATATGCAGGTACTTATGTAACAATTTAAAAGTAAACATTTAAAAATGTAAATACCATTCTTAGCTCACAGGCCATAAAAAGACAGGGGATGGGCTGGTTTTAGCCTATAGGCAGGTCCATGGCTTAGAGAAAAGCAGAAAGGGGTCAATAAAGAGGAAAAAAATCTGAACTTAACGTAATAAATTATCAGCATGCAAGGAGGATTGAACACCTGCTATCTACTTTTCTTGGCTAGAGAATTCAATGAAACACTTCATTTGACTGCCCCGCAGAGTTCCTTGTTCTCTGTGCAGAGATCGAGTACAAAGAGACCAATTCAACTTAGTCAAAGCAGTCAGTTCTCTAAAAGCCATCATAAAGCATAGACAGAAGGAGCATCTCCCAGTTTTTTCCAAGGCCCCACCTGTGTGTTTTCATCCTCCGCTAAGCCGTGGGCGAGGTGGGCGCTGAATGTGCTTTTCCCAACGCCGCCTTTCCCAGACAACACCAAGATTTTGTGTTTCACGGTCTTCATTTTCTCTTTGATTTCCTCTATGGCTGCAAAGAAAGAAGTTTGGGTGAGGAAGTCCTTGACTAAATTTCGAATGTCACTCTTCCAGTGGGCCGGAGGGTGCTAAGTCCTTGGGACTGTTTCAAAGGATCCTGTGTGAAATACCACTTAGTCAATGGTAGTAATAAGCACTATGAAGAAAATAAGGCTATTATCACACTTGAAATTGTCATATTTATTGGTTTACATGTTTGTCTCCCACTACCAGAACATAAGCTCCATGAGGGTGGGGACTGTCTGAACTGTTCACCGCTGTACCAGCTCATGAACAGAATTATGCACATAGTAATGGTCCCCAGCCTGGGGCAAAATCCCCCAGGAGAAATTTGGCAATATCTAGAGACATTTTAGGTTGTCACAAGGAGGGGATGCTACTGCTATCTAGTGGGAAAACCAAGGAATGTTGCTAGAGGCCAGGAATGTTGCTCAATGTCCTACAATGCACAGGACAGCCCCCCAAAATACAGAATGATATGGCCCCAAATGTCAACAAGAGTGCCGAGGTTGAGAAACCCTGACAGATAGCAGGCATGTAATAAGTGTCTGTCAGTCACTGATAACTCTCATACCACTTATTTTGCTGTACGTGTAAATGCTTTCAATACTTCATCTTATAAAACAATAATAACTATTTTTCTCTCCATTTTTGATGAGGAACTAGAGGCTCAGAAAGATTGCTCTTGCTCAGGATCACACTGTTTGCAGTGGACTCAAGAACCAAACCCAAGTCTCTCGCTGAACTCCTCCTCCAAGATTCTTCAGCTTCCTGCCTTTTTTTTTTTTTAAAGACCCTTCTAAGTAGGTTCCCAGAGTCCTCCCACCCCCTCATTTGTCCTTGATAGTACTTGTCGCTGTAGTGTTGTTTATGTCTCCCCTATTAAACTAAGCTCCACTAGAGCAGTGACCACGTCTGTCTCATGTTCAGCTGTGTCCCCAGCACAGAGACTGTGCCTAGCAGGTGATTAGCACATACTTCTGTTGAATGAATGGGAGGGTTACTCCTCAAAAAGAAAATTTTGTACAAAGAAAGTAGCTGGCAGAACCAGGATTTAAGCCCAAAGGCTCCCTGACTTCAAAATTTATCCCCTATTCCCTCCGCGGTCGGCCCCCACCAGACCGCTGCCGATTACTGTCACTCAAACCCCTCGTCCCTGCCGACTTTTTCCCACGCCCCACTGTCTTCGTGCCCCGCCCTTCTAAATGTTCCTTTGACTCCGCGCCTGTCACTAATCCTTCAGGCTCCGCCCTCCAGTGCCACCGCCTTCTTCCGCTCTAGGCCTTTAAAGGCCCCTCCCCTGATCACTCAATCCCCGCCCTAATCCCCGCCCCCATTTCACTCCCCTCTTAATATACAGTCCTACCTCCTATCCTGCACCTGCCACTCACCCTTCAAGTCCCGCCCCGCATCACTGATCGCTTTCTTCCCCACGCCCCGCCTCTTCCGGGCCCGCTCCTTTCACTTCCCGTTCAGGCCCTGCCCCTCACTCACCCGGGTCCGGAGCGGCGCCGGCTCCCGAAGCACACAGCAGCTGGTTGGGACATCCCTGACATGAGGCCACTCGGCCCGCCTGGGCACTGTCGGCCCCGGGACAGTCTGGGCAGAGACAAGACCACAGTTAGAGCAGCCCGCGTCCCTTCAGTTTTGCACCCACGCCCCCTCCGCGAGCTCACCGTGAGGCACCTCCTCCATTCCTCCGCCTTTGCCGCCGACGCGGTGACCGGAACCCCCTGTGGCGCATTTCCTCCTGGCGGGCCCAATATGACCCTCCAGCTGCGCGAAATAAGGCTCGGAGATACAAGGCTGTACGCACGCGCGAACCTTGTGCTGGTAGGGCGGGGCTCTTCCTTTTCTGTTCCTTTAAAAGTGAGTTAGAGCTTGGTGCCGATAACGCCAAGGTTAGCGGTTCGGATCCCCATACCGACCAGCTGCTAGAAAACAAAACAAAAAATCCTATCTGTCATAAATACTCCAGCATGTATCTCCTAAGAACAAAGGAGTTATTCTCTGTGACCTCTGAACCATTTGACACCCAAGAAATTTAACGTTGATGTAACAGTATTAAGTAATAGACAGTTTATATTCAAATTTCCTCAACTTTCTCAAGAGTTTCCCCCCGATCCTGGACCCAATAAAGAATTACTCATTGCCTGTTGTTATGTCTCTTCAGTCTCCTTCAATCCAGAAGTCCTTCCCTCTTTTTTTTATTTGTTAGTGTCTTTTGTCACATTGATAATTTGGGAGCCCAGATCAGCTGTTTTAGAGAATTCTCACAATCTTGGTTTGTCTGATCCCCCTGCCCCCCATGATTCAGGTTAAATTATTTTTGGCAGAGCACAGTTGGATATGTGTGCTTGTCCTATCGTGTCAGGAGGTGTGTAATGTCAATTTTTGCCATTATTGGTGATGTGAAGCTTGATCACTTGGTGAAGGTGGCTTCTGCTCTATTTCTCCAGTGAGTGGTACCCTTTTCCGTTTGTAAGTAATAGGACTCTCTGGGGTGACACGTTGAGGTCATGTGAATATCCTCTTCTCTGTCAACCAATATCAAACCACTCTGGTTTTGGCGTCATTGCCTGAATCAGTTATATTGCTATTTGAAAAGTAGTGATTTTTCCCAACCCTATCATTATCTATTATCTCTATATTTATTAATTGGCATTCCTCTGTGAAGAAGGACTTTCTTTCCCCCTCCCCCCATCCCCGCCTTTTTGAAGACTCACTATGGACTCGTGGATTCTTTTTTTTTTTTTTTTTTTTTTTTTTTTTT